TATTCTTTAGCTTAAATTTATAAAAGTTTTATTTCAAAAAAGAATTTTTTTGAATCTTAAAAAAAGAAAGAGAGAGAAAGTTCAAAATCATCATAAGTTTATTATTTAAGAAATTATAAAAATTTTAATGAATGAACATATTAGCAAATTTTTTTTAATTTTAAATTATTCATTTTATCTCTTAAACAATTTTGCAGAATTTGCCTACAATTTTTTAAAAATAAAATAACTGCCATATATAATTTTTTCAATAAAAGCTGAATTATCATAAAATTTTTATAATAATATTTAATTATATTTTAACTATCAAAATGTAAGGTTAGAAATTTTACTGATCATTAAAATTAAGCTTATAAAATGCTTATTAAATTTCAGAATTTTAAGTTTTTTTTTTATGTTATTTTTTTACTTTTTGCTCAATTTTTTTATTTTTATTATAGATGCTAATGAATGTAATAAATAGAACTTATTTGTTATTAATTTTTTATGGAATAAATTATAATATTACTGATGAACAAGATAATAATAGTAATAATAGTAATAATTTTGAATAAAATGATAAGAATATCAGAAGTAGAGGTAATAATAGAAGTAGAGATAAAGGTTAAAGTTAGGGATGGTAACAGTCATGCTGCTTTTAGCAAAGATGCTTTAGTTGCAAGCTGCATAAATTTAAACCTGAGTAGTAAGTAATCAATTATGCGAAATACCTACTTTAAACTAAATAATCAGTTACAATTAATAGTATTTCCAATAATATATCATGATGAGAAACTTTATATTAAACCTAAAGTAATTAAACAAGTATTAATAGAGCGTGAAAAATGACCATCTGGAGATTTAGTATTAGGATGTAATAAATGCAAAGAAAAAATTCAAGACATTTTAAGAATTACCTGTTATGCATGTCAGGTAATATCCTTAGAATCAGATTTTTTTGCTCAAAAAGGTGCTATTGAAGAATTAATTAAAAATGCAGGATATAAATGCATTTTTTTCTTAAATTTTACTGTGAATTAAATTTTATTTAAAGGTATTAGGATGCAGCCAAAAGATATTTATGTAAAAATTATGATTATTCAAAAGAAGAATTATAAAAAGTGGTTCCTGAAGTTCTTGAATCAGTAAATTTAATAACTATTAAAAAGTTTTCAAAAAAATATTAGCGCTATATAGATCTTTATAGGAAAGATATTAATAGAAAATTGGTAGAGTATGTAGTAAAGAAATATAGATCTTACAGGAGGATTCTGGAAGATTTTTAGAGGAATTAAATAAGTTTTAAATATAAATTTTAATGATTTTAACGAAATTCATCATTAAAATCAATAAAAAATTTTTGTCTAATCAAATTAACCATATATACAAGTCACAAGAAAATGTTATTTTGAAATTTCAAACTGTTTGATACCTTTAGATGTTATGCATCATATCTTTTGTAATCTTCTTCTTTTTATTTTTATAATTCTTTATCATCAGTATTATTGTATATTTTCTTCAGTTAAATTTTATTATTATATTTAATTTCATTTATTCTTCTCATTTTATTTCTTAGTATTCTAAGTTATTTTCATATTTCTTTTCTAATTTTCATTATCATTAGACCTTTTATTTAATCATTTTATTATTATAAGTTTTCTAATTTTCTGCAATAAAATATTAATTAAATATATATTCAAACATAGTTTATGTAAAGTAATTTTATTTAAGTATTTATTCAATATATTTTTGTATTTACTGTCAAATATAAGTTTTCATTTATTATTAAAGAAATATTTATTATTTCATTATTAAAGTAAAAGGATTTTTTTTAAATGATAATCTTTTTTATATAAGAAAATTCTATAAATTAATATAGATTATTTCTGTAAATCCTATAATTTCTTGATTTTCTTTTTTGTAGATCTTATAGAAATTATAGAAATAAAAAATTAGAAAATCATAATTTCTTATTTTTCCTTCTAATATTTGTATTATTTCCTAATTTTCTTTCTATAATTTCTATAAAATTCTTTCTAAATTATCAGTAATTATTATTATTTTTTATTATTGTTTTTTAATATTTTTAGTATTTTTATTTTAATTAATCTGTTAATTCTATTATTTCTTTATGATATAATTATAATTTATATATTCTTTTTAAAATTTCTTATATTACCTTTATTTTGAAGTTGTCTAATATTCAATAATTCTTTTACCCTTTTTTTTCAGTAAATAATTTATCTATCAGCTAATAGTTATCCATATTTTATGATTTAGTTTTCAGTTAATATTTATTCATTGTAACCTTTTATTTAATTAAATATTTCTTTAATTATTTATTTAAATATTATATGATATTAGTTATGTGAATTTTTAACTCTATAGGGTTACAAACTTTTCTGATAAGTTTTACAGCTAATTTTAATAATAATAAAATGTATTTAATCACTAGCTATTAAAGACATATTAGTTTTTAGAGTAATTAAATAACAATTTGTTTGATTTACTTGAATTGACGTAATATTAATTATAATTTAATATTCTAAAATTTAAAAATTAAGTTTACATTATATATTTATATGTATAGACTAATTTTAAATTGTCATTAAGACAAAAATACCTGTGTTAAATTTTATATTACTTTTTAAATCACATTTTTCAATATCATTCATTTCTATTATTTTAATTTTTATTACTTAATAACAATTTTTTCTCAGTCAATTAATGATATTATAGTTAAATAATTATTCTAATAGATACATTTAATGGCATATTAAATATAATTAAGTAATTATGTATTTTATAATTAATAAAGAAAAATACAGCACATAAATATTTTTATAATTTTAAGAATAAAACAAATTCATATATTTCTCAAAGGAAATTTAAATTACTTTCTATAAAAATTTTTTGCTATTAATATACTATATCCCAAAAGAGTTTAACTTAAAATTTTTGTTCAAAAATAACAATATACTGAATATTTTAAGATATGGGAAATTTGCTATTAAATTGAGTTACAAATTAAGTATTAACCCTCATATACTATAATAGTTTAAAAGATTTAAGTTATAAAATAATAGATTTATATAATTTTCCATTATTTCAATAAATTAATATTTAAAGATTAAGCTATAAACTTGCTCAAAGCTTTTGGCTCAAATAAGCTTACAAAAAAGATAAATTTCTTTATAGCATTAAGATTTAAAAAATATATTTTGAAAAAAAAATAATTTCCTATACTTATAGTCTGGTTAAAGATTTTTTAATGAAAAAGTTAAGTATCTTTTTATCTTTAAAGTTTTGTCAAAATAAGAAAAAATAGGGATGGCTGCTAGGATAAGTTTTTTTTTTTTTTACTAAAATTAAAAGATTTATTAATTTTATTTTTCAAATGTTTTAAATCTTATATTTCTATTTTTTCGTTAATAATCAATTCTAGATCATCTCTTTCATATGATAGTTCTGAATATTATGAACAGTATTTCATAAATATTTATTAAAATTTTTTTAATTTAAATAATTATATATTAGAATAGAAGAATTTATATAATGAATTTTTTAAAAAATGATATAAACCTCAATACATAAATAATATTAGATATTTTATTAATTTTACTAAAATATTTTAAGTTATTTTGTTTTTATTTTAGAATTTAGCAAGCGAACTTCAGCACATTGTAATGTGTTTACAAGATGTAACAAATCTATTTTCTAATTTAAAATTAATAAGTTTTCTGCTAATATGTTTTATCAATCACGTGAGAAAGATTAATTTCATTGGCTGGTTAATGTTAAATTTTTCAAAAATTAAAGATCATAAATCGTAAAAATTTAAAAATGGTGACTCAAGTTCTAACAAATCGACAACTATAAAATGGCGGTCATTTCACAGCCTAGAACATCAGTATTTGTATTTGAAACACCAATAAACACAATGTAATGATCACCCTTTGGTATTTGAACTTCCACCGTTCGGGAATACGGGTCACCAGCTTTAGTACATCCAGTTCCACATGCAGGAAACTCAAAAGCGTCTTCTTTTAATTGTTCACCCTGTCGATCCAATAATCCAATTGAAATTGTGGTTTTTTCGGTGACATCTTCCGAAAATTTTCCGGATATAGTAACGTTAACCTTTTCTCCAGTGGAGGGAGGATTGGGTGAAAATGATACTTGAAAGTTTGGTGGTTTCGTTGAACCTTCTGATTGGGGACAAATAAACGGACTGATTCTTTTAAAAAGTTTATGTGGAATTGCATTGATCATGGAAAGAGCTACCAAAAAGAGGAATGCAAATATAAATTTTCGGTTCATGATTATGATTTCTTTGAGAAGTTGACTTTATTGATTTTTTTGGTGAAATTTTAGTTATTAAATAAGCTTGAGTTCTTGGATTCAGAGTAAATTGAAATAAGTGTCTTTTTATAAGGAAAAATAATTAAAAAAAAAAGTAAATAAGATCGTATTCCTTTAATAATTTATAATCTATTTACAGTACATAATGATTGGCGCTTTATGGTTACCTAATTTTGTTGATATGATATTTTGTTTCTCTTTGAAACAATTTCACAGTAAGATAGTTTTAACAAGAAATTAAAAATTCTTTCATAGTAAATATAAAAGCACGAGAAATCATACCTGATATTTATTTTGTAATTTAAAGATCGACGAAAAAGAATTATCACGTAACACGTGATAAATGTTTTTCAAAAAAAAATTTTTTTTTTATCGATTTGCAAAACGGTAAAATATAATTTTTTTTTATTTTAAAATAAAAAAAAAAAAAAAATAATATGGGAGGGAGTCAGGTTATCTCCATAACGATCCAAACATTTTGCTTTATAACAACTATCAAGTTAATGTAATTTCGCTTCGGATTCTATTATTCATGGAAATATAAATAAAAGCATTTATTTGATCGTCTTCCTAATAAATAAAAATACTTTCTTTTAACTTTACTATGGAAGAATTTTAAATTCCTTATAGTGAAATTGTTCATAGTAAAAACGAAATAGCATATTAACAAAATTAGGCACCATAATAATGTAGTATAAAATTTTAAAGGAATAACGATTTTTTTTTTTTTTTTAAATTTTTTTTTTTTACTTTATTTTTTCCTTTAAAAAGGCACTGGTTCCAATTTACTCTGAATTTAAGAATCCAAGCTTATTTGATAACTACATTCACCAAAAAAAAATTCAACAAACTTAACTTCTCAAAGAAATCATAATCATGAACCGAAAATTTATATTTGCATTCCTCTTTTTGGTAGCTCTTTCCATGGTCAATGCAATTCCACATAAACTTTTTAAAAGAAGCACCAGTTTTTTTATTTGTCCCCAAATGAAAGGTGATGGATCGTTTCTACCAACCATACAAGCATCATTTGAACACGATACTCTCGTCGCTGGACAAGATAATAAAGTACATATATCCGGAAAATTTTCGGAAGATGTCACCGAAAGTACCATTGTTGCGGTTACATTTTATCATGTATCAAATCCAAATTTTTCAATAGGCTACACTAGTACTGTTGGTTGTACTGGAAAAGGATGTAAAATTAAAGCTGGTGACCCGTTTACTCAAACGGTGGATGTTCAATTACCAGACAACAAAGATACGTACCTTATGGTAGTTGAGGTTTCAAATTCAAGTACTGATATAGGCTGTACATTAACTCTTGTTACAGTTTAGTCTCTGCTTGATGCTTTATTTCTTGTTAATGATTCTTGGAAATAAATCATATTATCGTTATCGCTCTTATCTATTAATTTTCAATAATTTTAGCAAAAGAAATCCCAAAGATAAAAAAAATACTATATAATGATGTTCAACTTCTTGGTTAGAATCTACATAACAATTCTCATTCGCAATTTAATTACAAAAATTTAGATATAATATCGAATTTAGTTCTATCATTTTTTTTTCCTTTTCTTTATCACAAAACAATTTCCAAGAAGAATAATCAGAACTGAAACTGAAATGAAATTCATTTTATTACTATTTTTTCTTAATATTTGAGTTTCATGCACTTAAGAAATTTAGGTTACACGAATTTCTAGATGATTTATGTAATATTAATTTAATTAAAAGGTTATTCTTAAAAACCTTTTCATAACTATCACGATAATGTATACGGACATTAATTACTGTTAGTCAAGCATTCTTGAAATTTTTACGTCGAATTTTAGCGATCATGTGTAATGTACCAAATAAAAATTTCTTATTTAATTAGATTTCTAATTTTCGCTATATATTCATGTAATACAAAAATAGATAATATTTATTAAACTTTTCCATAATTTTCATTTTTCTCACTTATATTCTTTCTCTTGAATTCTTAAAGTCTCCTTCTCGGAAACGTATCAATCGCAACCGATCAAATACATTATAAAAAAAATATGTTGTAACGGTAGATTAATTTATCATATTTTTTTTATCATATTATTCCATTAGTAATTTAGTTAGTATCAATAAATTAATTATTGGATGGGATATCCGGTTAAAGCTGATAGTTTTATTTAACTCGTATCATAGTTATGATTGTGTATGTATTTGATTCAGATTCACTGAATTTGAATGAACGATCGATATGTTGTGACTGAAATTGATTTTCGTCTGTAGTTGGAATTCAGACGATCTTCGAGTGTCTGAAATTGAGATTCCAATTCCAAACACCCTTTTTGTATCTTATAAAACTATCTTAACCAATCACAATATGCCAAATTTTTTTTTTTTTACAATTTCGTAAATATAGTTAACTTTTAGCTATTAGCCGAATTATAATTTTTTTTTTCTTTTATTATTTATCGTTTTATTTTTATTATTTTTTTTTTTTTTAGGATTTTTGTTCATATTTGGGCTGCTGCTTAATGTAGGTTTTTCTTTTTCTTTCTTTTTTTTCGATTTTTTTTTTTTCTATTTCATTTTTAATTTATTTTAAATTTTTTTAAATTTTTTTAATTTCGATTTTATTTTTATTCAGTTTTTTGGTAAATAAGTAAATTCTTTTTTTAAATTTATTTTTTATTTTTATTTTTATTTTTTTTTAACGAAAAATTCTTCGCGTGAAATTTTATTTTGGTTTACCAAACTTCACACAATTAATTTAAGTTCTTCCATTACTAAATCGTATCATTTAATTAACATCTATATGGAATTATTAAAACATTTTTTATTATTTACAAATTTGCTTTCAATCAATTTTACAATGATCGGGCGTAAAGCACGTGGTGACCAAATTTTATTATTGCTGAATACAGTAATATCTGCATAATTATGTGTGGGTGTCGGGATTATTTCATTTGGGGGAGAGAATTTTCTGGAGAAACTGCTTTTGTCTATTTATTTATATCGTTACTGGTTAAATTTCAAATGTTATTTGTATCAATTTTGCTCCTAATTAGTCAAATTCATTTTCAAAAATATTTTTAAATCCTGTACTGTTATTACCCAAAGGTTCATCTAGTTTGGTAAGAAATTCATCAAAGATGAAATTTGATCGTCTTGAAGGTGAGGATAGTACATTCTTAGGGATTGAATTTTGTGTAAATGAAAATATTGGAATCATAAAAAATTTAACATAGTATTAATGTTTGTTGTAGCGAGTAGAAATTTTGTAATTTCTTTTAGCGTTACCAGAATGTGAAAAAACCCAATCAAATTTAGGGTTTACGGCTATATTAATCATAAATTAATCATAAAAATGAGTCTAGTTCGGGTTGTAAATGCTGACCCAAAACATTTTATAAATTAATTACACACTTGAGTTTATCTTCACTTTACCAATGACCGCGCCTACTACCTGAAGTCTATATGTAATGATTCACTGAATGACCGCGCATAATGTGTTAAGCTCAACCCTACCTGTTAAGGATCCATGAGCGGTAGTGCTTGGATGCATGATATGAACAACTTCTCTCTTTCTCGCTAGTTATTTCAGATCTGTAGAATATAATGAAAAAGGAAACATTAGAGGAGATTATCAGAAAGAGAAAATAAATGAAAATAACTTGATAATAAAATATAAAAAACCACTAATGACAACGATGGGCAAGGATCAATAAATAAATATGTGATCATGCTTCCTTGACGAAGGGCGCATGAAAAAGACCAACTCCTCGAAGGAAACTTTATGTTTAAACAAAATAATTTTGGGAAATTTAATATATTTGGGAAGTTTAAATGTTATAAATATTTAATCTTAATTAGCAAAGCCTTTTAGTAGGGATGGATCGTCCTGGTAGGACCGGTCTCCGGATAATGGGACCGGTCCCTGCGACGGTAAAAATATAAATATAGTATATAAATAAGCATAGATTATTAATAAAAATAATTCATCAACCAAAATATTATTAATCATTAAGTTATGTTTAAAAAGAATAAAAAGAATAAAAATTATTTATATATTATTTAAATAAAAGTTTAATTAAATTTTTGATTACATGTTAAAATTAAATTGCTTTCAAGCTGAAGTATCATAAATCCATTAATTTTTTTTTTTAAAATCAAAATTAGTTATTTTGATTTTATTGTCTAATTTAATAAATAGATAATATTTATTTTTTTTTGAGAAAAATTTTGAAAGTTAACGAATTATAGTATTGATCAATATAGAATAGTTATTGTTGTATTTACTATTAATAAATTTAGTAAAATAATTTTTGTTAAAAATTTTTTTGACGCTCGAAACTTCCTTGCAATCCAATCATTGGAGTAAAAAACGATAAGTTATATTGTTAATGAGGTTAATGTTATAAAAAAATTTGCAATTAATATATTCGAATATTTGTTTGTAAATAAATAAAATTCAAATATTCGAAAATACATAATGAATATTTGAATATCGTAATGATTCGGATGTCGAAATAGATTTCGAATATCGGATTTCGAATATTAAAATAATCAATTCGATAGTCCTTATCGATCGATTTTTATTTTATTTTATTTTTTTTTTTGGGTTTTTGGTTTTTCAATATATATATTCTTCGATCAATTCTTATTTTTTTTTATTTTTACTTTATGTATTTTTTTATAATTTTTTTTATGATAATTTTTTTTTTTTTATAAGAATCGGATCACCGCGGCTCACAGCGAAAGAACCCCAAAAGTAAAAATTAATAAATGAATATTTTAAATTGTCATTTCTTAATTTATTTTGTTATTGGCTAAAGTTTCGAAATGATGATGGATTAAGTTAGTGTTAATGTTATACCTCAAATTTCGCATTGATCTGCTAATTATTTTTCCATTTAAATCTTTTAGTGTTCCATAAGTAACAACAAGATTAAATTGAATATATTTCTTTTAAAAAGACGAAAAAAAAAAAAATAAAAATTAACTTTATTAGGGTAATAAACCATTAAATTTTAAATGAATATAATATCAAAATCATTACTTATTAGAATACTATAATTAGTTTGTAATACATTAGAGTCAGTTAGGGTTTCCGTTTGAAATACAAATTTCATTTCAAATATTTGAAAGTTTTTTAAAATAATTTCAAAATGATTCGGATATCGAAATTGATTTACAATATCGAAATTTATTTCATTTTTTTTGAAAATTTTTAATTATTAAAATAAATCCACTTCCAGCTTGAAGTACGCGGTGTTATTTTTTTTTTTTTAGTTTAATTTTTAGTTTCTTTATTTTTATTTTTTTTTTATTTGTCCGCGCTTTCGATTTATCTATTTAAGTTTGCTTTTAGATTCTTTCAATTTTATAGTTAGTTAGAGTAGTTTCGTTTATTTAATATTATTATTGATCATTCCGCAATTATTCTTCTCAAATCAAATTAATTGGTTTGCCTAATGCATCCCTATTCAAATGTCGAAAGTAATCGATTCTAATTCGATTTAGCAGGATCGATTCCATCCCTACATCTTTAACAGACAATCAAAAAAAGATTGAATATAATTTATCCCCATTTTATTAATTGTTTTAATCAGAAAAATAGAACGAAAGTAAATCACACAAAAAGTAATCCAAAATAGAAATATGTTAGAATATAATATCATTAGCATTGATTATTGGAATCGGGTATTTTATTTCTTTATAAAACGGCTCTGATTCTCAACTTGGTCTGAAAAAAAAAAAATTGATTACAATTAAACATACCTTTGTAAAGAAAATAATAATCATGAACCGAAAATTTATTTTTGCATTAATTTTAATGGTTGTGTTTTCCACAGCCAATGCAACAACAAAATTTGATCATTGTGATAAAGATGGTCCATTTCGATTACCCCTACTCTCTGTTACACTTAATCCCGATCCGGTCATCCCCGGAGACCACGCGACTTTTAATATTACTGGAACTTTAAATACAGATCAAACAAGAAATACCGCAATCTTTGTTTATTATTACGATCTTAAAAGTCAACAAATGATAGGCGAAAAATATCTTGAAACTATTTGTCCTAAAGGATGTATGTTAACTAAAGCTAATACTCCATTTACTAAAATAGTTAATTTTACGGCACCAAAAAACTTACCTACTCAATATGGAATTGTAGTTAATGTTGTAGAAGTAGACTACGTAGAAAATAGGTTAGGAATAACTCAAGCTTGCGCAAAAGCAGAAGTAGATATTATACCTGTTTGATTCTGCGATTGCTACGCTATCCTATCACTCTATAATTATAAATTTATTTTTTATCATTTTATTAGTCTATAGTAATTTTAATTTGTTATCGATAGAATTTATTTACCATAAAATTATTCTGAATAAGAAGTTTTTAATATTTAGTAACACTTAGATACTTTAGAAAAGACATAGTTTTACATTTTCACGATAATTTTTTTTTTTGACCGATCGGTAATTTATTTTAACTTTGAAAAGATTAATAAAGTTTTCATTTTGCTTATATATATGAGAGTGCTATTTGTATAATTTTCACGAAAAAATCATTGATATCACAGTGAAATGAACTAATTTTATATGAATTTGAACAATTATATTAACTCGAATTTAACTTAAAACTCAATCTGACTTGAATAAATTCGGGTTTATATCGAGTCGAGTAAATTTTATTTTACTCGAATTAAGTTGAGTCAAAATTTTATAAAATTCGACTTGACTAGAAAAATGAGAATTGATTCTTTAAATTTTAACTCGACTCGACTCATAAATAATTTCTCCTTTATGCATCAGCTTGTGGAAGAATTGCATCACCTTCATGACATTGTTTTTAAGGAAAATTTCATTTATCAAAGCATACATACAAGGAATTATTAAGAACGTTAAAATTCTTTTTGACGAGTATTTTGGTTTGGTCGACATGATCGGATTATATAGCTTTTCTAATTTTTGGTCAATTTTTTGTGACAGATAGAGTATGGATCTAACCGATAAACCTTTCCATGTAAAAAAAAAATTCGTAAAAGAACGAATTTATTTTTTATTTTTCATAGTTTAAAATGTAATCGTTTTAATTTTATTTGTTAGTTTATTATACGGAACGTATAGTTTATTCTGGTAAAGAAATGAATAAATAAAATCTAATATATGAAATGTGAATATAAATTGAACACCCTTAAACCAAATGAACAATATAAAAAGTATTGGCTAGTTTTTAAATCAAAAAGTTCGGATTTATTTCTTATTTTTATTTTATAACAATTTATCGTCAATATAATAAATGAGCTAATTGGAGATTCCATAAGAGTAAGAGATTAATCTAATAACATAAAAATCTCAAATTTGTTAAAAAATTCCCAGAACCTGATTTTCCTAGCAATCAACCATATAAGTTTTACCGACATTACATCATTCAGTTGTTTCGTTTATGTATTTATAAACAATTTATATTCGTAAGCGGAAGGATTTAATTAAAGAATATTGAAGTAATTTATTTAATAAAATCAATTTATCAGTGTTGCCTCAACGTTGACGCTCTACACTTCACAATTTATGTTTATTAAACTTAATAACTGCTAATCACTAAAAATGCTAATTAATTAGAATAAGAAATCTCGAAAATTAAAAATAAACGAAATTACAATGTTGAAGCTAAAATGGTAAAGCGATGATATCGCAAAGGGGCAAAGGAATGTGTCAAGGAGTATGTTTGCAAAAGGAAGGAAGGTAAACTATGTGTTTGCAAAGAACTTCAAATCCCGTCATATATATATTAAATTTTTAACTATAAAAATTTTGTACCCTGACGACTTGGCATCTAACGAATTGTTCTATTGAATTATTCAAAATAGATCTATAAGGGCTAATCAAATTCAGCGAAGATAATTTATTAATTTTTAAAGTTTTTAATTATTATTTGAAAAATTTTGATTGATTTTTTCACTTTTTCTTTTCCTTAGATTTCCTTTAGGTTAAATTTCTTCTGCAAATAAACCATTTTTATTCTTTTAGTCGCAGTGAACAAGCGGATTTTTTTTTATTTTTCTTTAAGCCTTTTATTCTATAATTTTATACGTACATAAAAGAATTATTTGGTAATCTTATTTACAGAACATTTTATGAAATATGTATTTATTTCATTACAAATAATTTTGTAAAATTGCTTATAATAGGTACCATTTATTGTTCGTGAAAAGTTTGTATTTATATAATTATTAACAAAGTGCGCTCTTATCTTCTGGATTTGCACTCGCTATTGTTACAAATGCCCAAACAAATGGCTATAACTGTTAGGGTTGTATTGGAATAGGATAGGATTGAAGGCTTAACTAATTACATATGTTTAGTTTCATATATCGGATATTCCGAAACTGTTTTGAACTTGCGTATTTTGTTTGCCTATCTTTTTTTTTTATTTATCATTAGAAATATGTATCAAACTTGGACAAAATAAAAATCAAAAAATTTCATTTTTCTCACAATTCTGAAATATTGTAGAACTACATGAAATCTACTAACTTCTCTTAGTAATGTTGGTCGCTGTTTTGCGCATGACATGACGTCTGTTAAATATTGATTTCATCCTCTCTTGAAATTTAAATGTCTATACAATTCCAGATTTAGTGATTTTCACAAGATACTCCTAATTTAGAGATGTGATCACGAATAAAAGAAAATTGTATTACAGTATACACAATTGAACAAAAATACTCTCCATATTCTTCTTGGAAAGGATGCAAAGAAATGTGAAAGCTAAAAATACTTTAAATTGTTTCTGTAGAGGCAGGATTAAAGGTTTTGAAATGTATTGGACACAATGAATAAAATGAGAAACGAATATTGTAAGGCGATTTGTCATCTAAAAGGAAAAAAGTTTAAATCTAATAAAAAATCATAAATGTCAAGCTCAATGAATTTCGTATTTAAATGACATACTTTAGTGCATGTGTAATCATTAGGCATACATAAGTTGCCTGAAAAAATAATTTAAAGACAAGAAAGGAATGTTTGATTCTTCATTATTAAGAATAACACTTTACTTTAAGATTATTGTCACAGTCAAGTTCCCTTAGAGAGTTGGGTAGAGTTGGTAAGCTATTTATTTTAGTAATAAAGTTCTAATAAAGAGTTGGGTAAAGATGGTAAGCTATTTATTTTAGTACTAGAGCAATCAAGTATCGTTAAGGAGTTGGGTAAAGTTGGTAAGCTGTTTATTCTAATCTTATAACACAAAAGAACCATTAAGGAGTTGGGTAAAGTTGGTAGGATAGTTATTTAAGTATCAAAGCAAAAAAGTTCCGTTAAGGAGTTAGGTAAAGTTGGTAAGTGTTTTATTCCAATCTTATAATACCAGAGTATCGTTAAGGAATTGGATAAGGTTGGTAAGCTATTTATTTTAATGCTGCAACACTTGAGCATTGTTAAGCATTTGGGTAATATTAGTAATCTTTTGATTCTAGTCTCATGAAAACTGAGTTTTGTTAAAGAGTTGGGTAAATTTAGTAGGATAGTTATTAGAGTACAGAGGGTGATCACGGATATCCGAAAGATTAATTAAACTATTTGAATTTACTTATTATATTAACTTTTTTTTTAGAATAAACAAAAAATTTATTTGTTCTAAATATTTCCTATATATTTTATTAAAAAAAAATAAAAAACTAATATTTTGTTGAACTACCTTCAGCTGCTATACATGCTTGAATGCGACGGGGTATACTTTCAACCAAATTTTGAATATACTCAAGTGAAATTGAACGCTAAGCATATTTTACCTTATGTTCTAAATCTTTTATATTTTTAGATTGATTAGGCAACGTATGAAGTTTCTTATCAACTTCATTTCAAAGATTTTCAATAGGATTTAAATTGGGGTTTTGTATAGGCCAGAATAGCACAGAAATTTTAGAGGTATTACGAACATCAGCAGCAATCTTTGCTTGATGAGGTGGGCATTATCCTCTTGAAAAATTCCTTATTTACGAGAAACTAATTTGTAAATTGAAGGAATAGCATGCCTTTGTAACACTTTTGCATATCTTTGTCCTGTTACAGATTCGCGAAGAGGAATAAGAGGTCCTAACTTATACTACGAAAAGCATCCCCAAAACATTTGACTGGGACTGTGCTTTACTATAGCAATTAAACAAGAAGTGTCAAATTCTTCTTCTGGTGTACGTCACACACGTAAGTTACAATCTTGTGAAAATTAGCTAAATGTTGATTTATCAGAACATACAACTTTCTTCCATTTTGTAATTATCCATTCTTCTCATTCCAATGCCTAAGCCAATCTTTTTTTTTTATTATTTTCAGAAATTAATAGTTTAGAGTGGGCAACACATGAATATAAGCTGACTTTTTTAAGAGTCTGACAAATTGTAACAGTTGAAACTTTCCTTTTTTTTTAGTTTATAATTCTTGAATTTTTTGAGAGGTAAGGCGACAATGCTTCAAATTTTGTGTAATAATCTTTTTGAGTAAAGATTATGCATTTGAATTAAAAAGTGGTTTCGGATCACAACATTTTTTTGGTATTGCAGAACCAGTTTCTTTAAAACATTTTATCGCATCATGGACAGTTTATTTAACACATTGTACAATGTACGCAATTTTTTGATATGAATCACCTTGTTTGTGGTTGTAAAGAATTACCCCATATTGTTCAGCATTCAATTCTTTTATTTTAACCATTTTTGTTCGAAAGAAAATTATTTGTTATTATTGTGATCGACATCCATTTATATTCTAAACAAATGCTTAAATTAGAAATATATGTAAACATATAAACAAAGTAAATAAACAAAAAATACTTATCGTTCGGATATGTGATCACTCTCTGTAATTCTCAGCAATTTTGCTGATGCGTTCCTACTAATCAGAATATAAACAAATATGTCGTTAGCTGTTTCATTGCAAACTTGAAAATGAAATATGTAGTATATATGTACCTCTAATGCTTTCATGTGGCGGATATTTGACTCTATTAAAGGAATGGTCATTTTATCCTTGACTAATCGTGTAGTTAAAAATGGCCAAGAACAATAAAGTCCATCGTATTTTAGATCCATTATATGTGATTCTACTAAATCTCCTGAAGGCATTGTTAATATATTTAATTGAAGTTGAATCAAGCTTTACTGATTACAAGTAAACATACCTTGATTTGTTAGCAAAACTGTTTCATCTGATCTACTTTTCATTCTTAATAATTGATTGATTAACTTTCACGCTCTTAACTGTATTTTTAATTTGTCCTTTTGTCTTTGAAGAGGTGTAAATCTGGGTGGCTTTATCTCCGAATTCAGGATAGGAATATCATTAACCAGGTACGAAAAATCAGGCCTTGTCGCTATACTGCTAGTAGCACAATTCAGTTGAATAACGTATTCTTCGCATGAATCAGTGAAAAATAATAGATGGATTATTGGATGTAGCAACTTAAAGCAGTGTTCGTCCTCTGAAGTTTTTGTTAGAGAAACTTTAGGAACACTGCTACACCTGTTATGCATGAAATAAAAAGTTAAGGCAGATCTGATCTTAGTTTTAGATATATGTTATAGGATAAAAACTTACATGTCGTTAAATATTCGTGAGACTACCCGCCCAATTTCAGAATCTCCCAAGGATAAAAAAGGGGCTCTGCTTTTCATAAATTCAGCTAAAGAATTCCATAAAGAAAAACATACATCCAATGGCAGTACCAGTTCAGTTATAACATAGGGATTCTCACGTGTAATCTCCCACTATTCATGATTGGTGAAAATATGATCAGGGTAAGGGCAAGGCGAATTTAATACAATTACAGAAGACAATGCCCTATCGAGCATAAATAGAAATCGTTAGCATTGACACATTATTCAATATAATCATTACATGACCAAAAATACTTACAAAACTTCATGGAAATCACACCATCTTAATCCATCAGTCTTCACTTTCTCAAGTATCTCTATTTGATATTTTCTAAACCTTTGCGATACATTTATGGTATCGATTTCCCACTAAAAACGGATGTAAACTGTTGAGATATGCAGAATAAAAGCATCAGAATCTTGATATGTATCTCATTTGATTATTCCCGTAACAATTCTTTTTCAATACTTGCAAAATCAAGCTTTATTTCTTCATCGCCCTCGGGCCCTAGATCAGAAGAGGAAGACTGCTCAGAAGACTTTTCATTATTATTCTGAATACTTGTTTCTGAAGCATTTTTTGATTTCTGAGTATTTGTTTTTGAAGCAACTCTCGTAGCTTTTTTCGCCTAAATATAGAAAAATACATAAGCTTTTACGTACCTGTAGTTTTATCTATAATCTTTTACCTTTTTATGTGTTTCCAATTCGACCCCTTCATTTAATAATTTTTGTGAATAATTAATAGGCTGTTCATAAAAAAGTATTAGGTGAGTAAATACAATCTTATACAAATCCCTGAATTTGAAACTATTAATGTCGATAGTTAAACAATGTGAATAACATACCCCTTCCTCGTTGAGAATGTTCTTTTCATCCAATTTTGGATGTTTCATAATCGCATTTGGACTTTGAAAAAAAATATCAACCTCATCCTATAAAAATTAAAAATTTAATGTAAAAATATAAATTATTGCGAAAACACCAATAGAATACCTTTGAAGAGTGGTTGTTACCTTTTCTATAGATGATGTTAATGCATCTGTACTATCCTTGCCCGTATGGATAGCTTTTCTCTTAGAATTTCCCCTATCCGATAAAATACCCAACTTTGTCTTGTTTAAGATAACTTGAGCCTCATTTCTGGCTAAGGATTGATCCAAGCCAAATTGCATCTACAAACAGTAAGAAATAGTTAGTACAGTTCATATGCACTAATATTCGATTTTCTCAAGCTCAACGTCATACCAGAAAGGCTTAGTAGATTCCTATTGAGCCTGAGACTTAAAAAAGTAGAAGTGAATTACAGTCTGCTAACTTATTTCAATACATTCAAGGTGAAACATTTGGGAACTACAAATGAACGAATTGTTCTTAGCACTGAGACGAGTTATCCTTAGCCTTCACGCAGATTTAAAAAGAAGCCCACCAGAGGAAGTTTCATAACTAGTCTCCATAGTTAACTTAATGCGTTGTGAGGTTACTTAGGCGGTTGTTTTGACAGCGTCCAACTTCTTTTCTATTCCTTCGCCACTTTGTGTGTCAATGTGTGTCAATAATGAACCTAACTAGACTAACCTTTAGCTCACCATCTTTGTTAATGATGGAGGCCACCTTCCTCCAATTTTTATCTGCATTTTCTGCAACGAATGAAATGAACTTTGATACAATAGTATACTCGACCACTCTATTAAACGAGAAATCATCTTTTTTCTTATGGAACTTCAGGATGGAGAGAAGGGAGAAATCATCGGGGTCCAAATTATTTTACCAACTTTCAAACTGTAGCGGAGTAAGAAAAGACAAAAAGGCGTAAAAAAGCCAAAAACTTTTTAAAGTAACCGTATCTTTACCTTTTTGTCTAAATCAAGAGGCATATGGTGGTTTTGTCAGGTTATCAGATTACTTTATATTGGTTTGGATAGAAAATATAAATATAAAAAAGATCTCGTCCTAAAACATTTTTATAGACGCATGCTATAAGATACGTTTTACACTGCAGGTGGTACACTGTACATTATACTAGGCGATCACTGCCTCAATTGAATTGCGCAAAAAAAGTAAATATAGCTGAGAATTGAAAGATATTAAGTCTATCACTCTATCTCCTTCCTTGCATTTTTTTGCACAGAATCAAAATATGCTTCAGCAAGGTCGCCCAAACTAGTCTTGCTAGAATTGATAGGCATATTAGATTGATCGCTTCAAAGATAGAGTGGTTGCATCTTTCGGCCATTATTCATGACCTGATAAAATCCCTTCTGTCTTTGAGAATTTAAAAGAGCATATTTCTGCGCAGTATTTTTTTGCTATAGCTAATCTATCAGATAAATGGCATCTCTTATGCTTTGAATAACTTATATAATCATAAAATTGATCTAGCGGAATATGATAAGGTCTATATAATCCAAGTTTACAGTGCAACGAATTTCTCTACCAGACATGTTAAGAAACTTCTTTTTCCTAGAAGTGTTATCATTTCTAACTGCCTCCTAAACTTGTTTTGCTAATGAAATGGGCCTCTTCCTATAATTTCTATAAGTTCTTTGAATAAGCTGAGCACTTTCATCCTCAGTTTTAGCTTTGAAGTATTTGTTATTCCAATGATATTTAACAAGTCCTTGGATTTAATCTCATATCCATATCTACGCCATTCGTTGAAATATGTTTTTTTTGGTTTTACATCAGTGATCTTTACCAATTTCTAGCAATCAAAGCAAATAGCCATTTGACTTTTATGGATCATAGGTCTGTAATATCCATCATCTTTCACCTTACCTTCGCCAAATCCTATATAAAGATAGTACATATGATAAATGCTCCAATATTTCTCAGCTAACAGTGTTTGCACAATACCTCTTACTCAAACAGCCTATTGCTATGGAGTTTCACACAATCTAATAATTGATAAATAATCATATAGTTTTTCTGTTTTGATTATTTTTTCAAGATCAGTACCATATCCATAATTTCTTATATATGCACTAATATGGAAGTGTTTCTAGGAAAATCAGGTTCCGAGAAATTTTTGACTAAAATTAAGAGCTTAATACATTTTAATCTAATTACAT